GGATTTCATAAAGAAAATTACACTGGATGTAAATAATGTAATATAAAGGGCGGTCACTTGAGGTTAAGTACAACTCTGTCAAAAGCCCGAGATAAATATTTTTGGGAGCAAGAAATAGGGAAACTCATTCAAATAAATTGTGCAAATTGAATACAATAAACAGTAATAATTTTTTTGTACATTTTAATCATTTTGATTTATACTCACAGAGTTCTTTTGTCCAATATACAGAATTGGGAGACAAGTTGCACAAGGAAGAAAATCCCTGAACGGCAACACTCTTAAAGACGTTTTACGCGGGTTGCAGTGGGAAGAGTGTTTACTGTACATGAATTATATTATTGTAATACCAGGATCCACCTTTGTTGCGTCCCTTTAAAGGTTAGAAAATATTTTCGAAAGGTTAAGGGATGCTAACTTAAACTGAAACTTCAAAGTGCAACCCCTTTTAAAAAGTAAAATGTTCTGAGGCATGTTAAGTCAGAAGAAGGGGTCCATACCGATCCTGTCAAAACGGAAGTTATTAGAAACTGAACGATTCCAATGAAATCAAAAGATGTTAGATCATTTTTATAATTAGGACTTTTTTCATATTGTAGAAAATTTGTAGTTGGCTCTGCCAACACTGCTAATTATAATCCATTACACAGGCTTTGTGAAAATCCTGGACAGATGACTCGCAAAACGCTTCCGATTCTCTTAAAGCAACACCAATGACCAATTTGTTTTATCTTACCCACTCCCTAAGAAAACATTTATTCGAGATACAGATGCCTCTTATTGTGCAGCAGGTGCTGTTCTAGTTAAAGAAATCAAGTCAGAATTCCCTGCAAAGTTTGCATCAGGCAAAAAATAACAGAATAACAGATTGTACTGTCAGAGTTCCTAACAGGGGTTAAGCAAAAATTAAAAATAGCCAGATTCAGATGTAAGGGACGTTCAATTTATATAGAGGAGTTGAAACCGAACACTATTAGGCAAAACCAACTTGAGGATTGCAACACAGGACCAATGGTGATAGCCAAAGAAGACGTTGGCAGTCCCTCCTGGTAATCAATTTCTGTCTGGATTTTTAAGAACCACTGGGATAACCTACGGGTAATGTCATGTATTTTGTATCGTAGATGGAAAGATAATGACAGTATCTCGTGTTTCGACCAACTTGTTGTTCCTGAAGTTACTTTTAAAAAAAAGCTAAGGTACTCCACCATTATCATGATATACTCTCTGTAGGATATTTTGGTGCTTAAAAAAACCCGAAAAAAATACAAAAGGATTTTACTGGCCTTCAATGAAAAATATGATGAAAGTTACTGCTATTCCTGTGTAGCCCGCAAACAAGACAAGCTGGAAGTAAATATTGTAGCAAAACTTGTAGATAAATTGTCAATATGTCCCTCTGACAGTCCATATCAAATCCAAGTGAATCCAATGTGTTTCAGGAAATATGTGATCTGCAACTTGAAAACACTCGAACTAGTTTCAACCACAATAAGAAAGATTTAACAGAACCTTAGGAGACATGCTGTCTATATACTGTCATAAATTCAAAATGAATGGGACCAGTTTATACCGAAGTTTTTTTTCTGGCTTACAGAGCCTCTGTACAATCTTGTACTAGACAGACGCCAAATGCCAATGCTTAGTAGGGACATGATCATTCCTATAAGAGCTGTTATAAAGAAACATGTAACTGAAGTAACAAATATTACAAATGAAGAAAATTACATCACAAAATTATAAAAGAAGTTTAGTGGAATAAATGATCATGGTAGGGAAAAGACGAGAACAAAGGGCCATATACCAATAAAAGAAACAGTGTGATGCTAAATCTAAAAGGAAACTTTACAAGGGAGGACATATTGTTTGGCTAGGAAAAGGGAGTTTATGAAAAACTATCTTACAGATGGAAAGGGCCTTATATTGTCATGAATCGATGATCTGACATGCATATGTTTAATTTTTGTTTTGTTTGTATGTTGTTTAACGTCCCTCTCGAGAATTTTTCACTTATATGGAGACGCCACCACTTGCCGGTGGAGAGCTGCAAATTTTTTCCTATACTCGGCACTTACGGCCATTGAGCAGTGAGGGATCTTTTTCGTGCCAGCACCTACTGCGACACGGGTCCTCGGTTTATTTCCTGGCTTCTATAAGTGTTACAGCCAACACCATGCACTACATTCCGAAGAAAAACATAAACATGAACCAGTTGGAATTAAGCAAGTTATATCACTAATAAAATTATTACTTTTTTTAGACGTTTTCCAATACATATCGATTCCTTCGAGAGAAAAAAAACTTGTGAGGCACCACCAAAATATACCTAAGAACATCATGAAATGCACCATCTGTAAATACGAACCACCTTGTATTTGATAGAATAACATTACAAAAGACATCACAAAGAAAGAACAGTAATTTACACTATCAGACCTCGTCAAGGATACACTGTACTTAACCATCCCCAGTCCTGCCTTTCCTGAACATCAGCCCCGCGAGGTATTGCATCAAAGATCACCGAAGAAGGTAAGCAAAAGCCTCCGCCATAATAGTTCTCCAAGAAAAAAGAGGATAAGCAAAGTAGACCAGAAGAAATAGGGAAGAGAATTGTCCGAGAAACAAAGAAAAACATCACCAAGAAGACATTTGAGGAGTCTCTCTATCTCCATTGGAGGAAGTCCTGCTCCGGTGCAATTTTATGGCATGAATATGGAGGAATAGTTCATTTCCTTGAGTTTGGACCTTCTTTCCATGCCATATTTATTTCCGGATCCACCACGGAAAGTTATGTGGAAGGAGACTAAGGGAGCTTCCTTGCCGAGTGAATATGCCACTGTACCAGTCTCTCCAAAAAGTGCCCTCCTTGCTTTCTTGGATTAGAGAACATTACATGTGCCTCATGTTGCTACCGCTGTTTCTCATCCTCCTGGAAACCCATGGTCCAGTCCCAGTCACTCCCGATCTTCATTCCACGCCTGATATTTAAACATGCTCACCTTCACTAGTTTTGCACAAGTGCGAGAAATCCTGGCCAGATGAATCATCTTGAAAGTCATCTTGAAAATGGTTTTCGCGTCTTCTTCGCTGGTGCTCCTAGCAGGAGTAGGAATGAATTTGTAGCCTGTCTGTTGAGAATAACAAAACTAGAAGCCAAGAAGTTGCCTGGAAGCACAGTTTTCAGGACAACTGGAGATGATGCCATCATTAAAGTTGAGGAACTGCGGTTTCCAGATGGAAGATATGATAGTCTTGAAAGTATCATACTCAGGGTCAGAGGTGATACCCCCGATCCGAAATATCGCCTGATGCAGGATTCATCCGTCAAGATGTCCACCTCTTCATCTGACTTGAACCACCATCCAGGAAAGTGTGACGCATCTACTCAAGTGTCTGCAAGACAGAGTTTCATAACTGAGGACTTTTCTGTGTTTGAAGTGTTTGGGAAGAAAATTCTATGAACTTTCAGTTCTATTTTTTGGAACACTTGTTGTGCACAACTGATTAATTGTTTATGGATGTTTATGCAATTTAACATTGTCTATAGGTGTCTTAGTAAAACATGACATTATGTCAAATTAATGTTACATGTATATCTACTATGAAGATGACGGCTTACAGAAACGAATTAAAAACACGTGTTGGTGACTTGGTCTAGAGAAATAATTAATAAATTGTGCTCAACTCGTTTTTGTAAGCAGTACACACATTTTAATGATAATAAACAGCACACAAGGAAATATAACCTACAAGATTGGACTTACGTGTACTCGGCAATCTTCACTTGTAGAAATTCGTCAATAGCAAAACCGACGCAGTACAGTTAAGGCTACACATGAAGATAATATGGTAATGAGGTCATAATGAGGTTTGACGTCATGACAGTTGCTCCGCCTTGATAGATCCATATAAGGAAATAGAGCTCAAAAAAGCTATTTAATGATGATTGCGAGAATTTGTAATGAATGTCTGAATTTTCAGGTTTAAATAAATAAACATTAGTGATTTTCTCTTATATAGTAACAACACGTCTTCGAAATAATTCTCTTTTTATTGTGTCGTTTGGCTGCATTCGGCTTCAGCCAAGCGCTTGCACTCGGTGACACGGAATGTTGTTTACATCTAAAAACGTGGCGACAGCAGCTGAGATATGCAGTGGATAAATGCAACAATCAGGCAATCTTTAAAGAGAATAGGGATAAAATAAGAGACCTGGGCCTTGTTTATCTTTTTGATGAGAAGATGATGACGTTATTTCGGGAAATCATGGAAAACTGAGACGATCCGCACTACCTCCCTAGGTCCCTTTCTGTTCATTAAGGTGTGTATGTGCATAGGTATTAACATGTAGACATACTATTCTTTACATCGATGTAAAATAACCTTGAACATGTACAATAAGATGTATTGCTACAGTCCGTCACAAACTGCAATGCAGTGCCTTGTCTGTATCCCCCCCCCCCCCTCCACCCACACACATACACAAAAACACACACATTATGAAAGTTCCACACTTTTAAATATGCAATGATGTTGTCCTTTGGCATACATGTACAAACATGTAACATAATATAAGCACAGGACGTCATGATATCAAATAGTATAATTTAGATGCAGTCACACTTGCAGTGTATTTGTGAAGTCAAACTGCACAGTGTACAATGTATGTGCACTGTACATACAAGAGTGTAAGACCCTATAAATTTTAATTTTTACCTCTGGCAATCAAAAATATGTGAATTTTAAGATTTCAGTTTTTACCAGTGCTTCATATTTTAAATTCATCATAGAACTTTTACTATCTATATCACTAGGCTGTAAATTTGTAGAATTTCTACATTAATGAAGATAAAATGTTTAAATTTTCATTTGTCTGACTACATGTACATTAAGTCAGTCTTATGTATATACATGTATTTATGTACTGTTTATATGTATAATTCTTTTGTCATTGTAGCTGTCACAGAACTGGTTAAAACTAGCATTAACATCAGCTAGAACTATCAAAATAGATGCATCAATTTCTCCACTGGGTATGATCACACTAAAGCATTTCACATTAATTTTATAGTATGCCAGTGTTAAATATTTTTTTTAAATGTTGTATAGGTGAAAGAATTAAATGTTATCTCTAGTATATTGATTTTTTTTTTTACTTAAATTAAGTATAGCTACCATTTCTACTTTTGCAAATGTCATAGGTTTCAATTTCCCAGAAAAGTTTTGTATCAAAAGTTTGTTTCCATTTATTTTATGAATTTCAGATAATATAGTATAGCATGGTTTGTTTTGTACAATGCTATGTCATTTCATTCTACAATAGTAATCATTATGTATTTCACTTATTACATATATATTGTGTTGTAGCTACTCCCAAACAATTTGAACAATTCATTCAGGCAGCAAGTGTTTCCACCAATAAAATAAAAAGGTATGCTCCATATAAGCTCTAAACCATACATTTTCCTAGCAAGATTATTGAAATGTTTTGATAATAAAAACAGTAGAGTCATGTATATGATTTCCATGTTACTCAATGCATTGTTTTGAGTATCACTTTTTTAAAACACCAATGAACCTTCCATAATGGTATTTCATTTTGTTTTCAGAATTGATTTCATCCAGAAGAACTGTTTGAACTGTGGACTGTTTGAAATATTTTGCACCTGCTCAGAAATCCCTTCACAGCTTGTCTTTGAATTTGAAAGGCTGTTTTTAATTAAATAAATTTTCTAGATAACTTATACTTTGAATTTTTAACAGTACAATGGTGTGAAAGTAAGTTTGAAGGCTGTTAAGATTTGAGTATCTTACTTGCATCTATTTTGACAGGCGCATAGCTGCTTATACGCAAATACGCAGGTGCGTACACATCGTTTACAAATTTAAAAAAATAGGGGGGGGGAGGGAAGGGAGAGATCTGTGAGAAGAGAAAAAATATCAATACCATCCAGCAAATATTTGTGTTTCAAATTATTTTATCTCATACTGTTTCGATTCAAATTCAAATTCTATATTACCATGTCTTTATTAAAAATAAATTTTAAAAAATTGTAATGTTTTATTAAATCATTGCCAAAACCAAATAAAACATTCATTAATTTGTAATTCTTCTACAACACATTGATAATTTATTTTAAGAACTTGGAGAAAATATCAACCGTTGAATGCTGTGATCCACTAGAATATGATTTAAAATATTATTTTTGTTAAAAATTGAAATTATTGATTATATTTGTTGCCGAAAGATGATACCAATATATCTTTTAAAAAAATATTCAGCCTCTACATGTACAATAGATTTGCACGGAAGACTTCAAGTATTTAACTTTGTGTTAAAAACAATATTACTATGTCTTGTATTTTCTAAAGAAAATCGAAATGGCATGATTTTGAATGAAATATTTGGTAAAAACCATGAGCTTTCAGGGACTTCGCCTCTGGGCCCTCATCTGGACCCACTGGGGACCCCAGCCGTTCTCTGCGTACATTTCACTTCCATTCTGGTATGCGCCTGTCCGTGTTTTGGGGTACAACAAGATCTAAATTTCAGTATGTATATTGTGTTCACCTGTTCTTTAACAGAGTATCTGTTTCCGTATTACAAAGTTTTTACTATGATTATCTTGTTTGCGCATTGATTGATAATTACTCAAAAACATGAGACTAAAGCCCCCCCCCCCCCCCCCTACGCCGATATGATTTGTGCTACAATACCCAAATAAGTAAAACCTGATGTAAACACTGTTTATTAATTTATTTTTAACATGCCAGTAAGTATATGGTATCAAAGGAGCCAGAGGCAAACTGGTGATTGGGGGGGGGGGGGGGTCGATCTGTAGAAAGGAAAACAGGTTATTAAATACTGGAGTAAGCACCCCAATCCCTTCCTTCTGTTCTTAAAACTTTTAACGTAGTCTAGAATCCATAAACAGTTGAAGGTTTACATGATAACTAAAATAGTCACATATGAAAAAAAAAAAAAAAAAAAAAAAAAAAAAAACTACTAGGCCTAAGTTCTGTTGGAGATATTTTTTCTGTGTTTCTACTGAGGAAGAATAAATGTTTAATCATTGATAGGGGCTGTCTATTTTTTATTTTTATTACAAATGACTGAATCTTTCAATATTTTTAACCATGGGCATTTTCCAATTTATTTACATGATGGATGTTGCGGCAAATTTTAGGCGAACGGAGGAAATGCGGTAGGTGTCAAATACGTCTTGTGTAGCGTATAAAAGAACGAAGATATACAAAACAAAGTAAAGTCAAAGATTTTTTTATGCATACCGTTTTGATTTAGTGAAATAAAGCCCAGCGCAGTCCGTAGGTATTTGTTTAAAATTTGCGAGGTGCACAAACTCTACTAAGTACCACAGAGTTATCTCCCATGCTGGGTCAATGATGCGTTTGAAAACTATATTTAGAATGAATGGGTTAAGATTTCAATTTTTAATCAAAAAGTGCAAGGGCAAGGCGACAACCCAAGAGGTAGGTTTTTATTTTAAATTCTTTATTTTACTGTATAGTTTTTAAAAAGTGATGCTCATTTCTTTGTAATTCATTAGGCAATTTAAAATTTCCGATTAAATGATGAAAAATACCCTATTTTTGAATACTGGTGTTTTTTTTCAATGATTAACTTAAATATCTCAGAAATCTGACTGAATGAGCATCAGTTTTTCGATAGGATAGATACCAAGGGACACAATGAAACCTTGTGCAGTTCAAATATTGTTTGCCTTGCCCTTGCACTTTTTGGTTAAATTTGACATTTCATATTTTGACCTAAAATCGGAGCTCACGTGACTTTAGAGGGTCACATGATGACAAAAAATACCGATGTGAAAAGCGATGGACAAACTCTTCATAAAGCCATTAAGATATTTCAGATAGAGTTTCATGCTAAAAAATAAGACGGTTGAACTAAAAGTGTCTCGTTTTTGGTGCCTTTTTATAGAAAATGTTGCCTTAACTGTACTGCGGATGGTATAATGCACACATTTCCGGGGGAATCCCCGCTACACGTACACGTTCGTGTACTTGGTTTGCTGAACACATATAGGAATCATGTTTGTTTCAGAATTTCTTTTCAAAGCTTGCACTAGTAGGGATTGGAGCTGATAAATGTGCAAAATAATTCAATTTTACTTTAGCTTTACTAAATTTTTCTATATATCAAAGGTCAATTTTATATATTTTAAATAATCAGGGACCATAACTAATAGGACCCCATTTTAATTACCTTAAAATTCCATGTGAAAGTACTTGCATGTTATAAATTCTATGTTGTAAATCCAGAAACCAAATACATAAAAAATATCAATTAACAAATATATCAAGACTAGATTCTTTGAAAGAAAGGCATATTTGTTTGACTTTAATTATTTTTAAAAATATTTTTAATATTCATTTGCAGACACGTACAACCACTTTATTTTGATATAAATCTCTTTTTCAATTTTGATTTATAAAAATGAAATTGAATTTATTTTCTTGTACACCTATCAGTCCCAATACAATGATGTATTCTTGATTGAAGTGAAATAAATAATCAATAGTTGGATCCGCCACATTATTTTTTGAAGGGGAGGTTAATCTACAATACATGCATATATCATTTTAACTATGAATTCATTGTATCTAGAAATTATGACATTTTATGACATTAAAAAAACACCATCGAACGAAAATGATACAAGGGGCTTTTGAAAGGTCATTGATAGATACCTTCGTGGTCACGTACAGCTTGGACATTGATGCTGTGAAATCCTTTTCTATTCACGAAGGAATTCTTGTCGTGTGGAGGGGCCTGGATCCGTACACGAGTCCCATCAATGCACCCGATTACACTGTGGAAACCTGCCATCCGATAGAAGCCTGTTTTGATCAAAGACTTTGCTGTTGCGTCAGGCCATTTTGTAAATATATCAGTTCTAGCAACCAGTGCTTCTGTGACTCTCTTAACGGTGCGAGATACTGTACTTTTGTCAAACCCCTTTTCAAATTTGAGTAATTTGTATATTTTTTCATTATGGAAATACTATTTAATCCGCGTTTTACGTTTAATACATGCAGTATATACACGTAACCATGAAATTTCCCATGCACTGTGTTATTATTATTTTAAAACTTTAATTAAACTTCATTTTTAACATTTATATAGTATAGTACTGTATTCTATTAATTGTACCTAACGTACGCGTGTATCCGACAACCTCCCAAAAAACTACCAGTTGCAAGGTAGAGCAAGGCTATCATGACTTGATGTTGGACGCGTAGTGCGCTGTTTCTTTTAGTTGCTTTTCTAAATCATTTTGATGATTTCCCCAGTAAAATCTATGCCACGTTGATCAAATCTGTACCTTCTTAATTCATTATCAGACCAACCGTATAAATTGGCGTGTAGTCGAAAAACACGCTGTTTTCTGGGTCGAGGCGTGTGAATAAGGAAATTAGCGGCTATATTTAATCATTGTGTTACCTTTTTAATCCACCTACCGTAGTTGGATTAAATATAACACAGATTTAACACCTTGTTTACACAAACACACATTTGAACAATACTTAATCATGTGGTTAACTTTAACACACTAGTTAACACAGAGATAACACTGTGTTAAATTTAACCACCCTTTGAACAACCTGGTTCTGGCCTCAAATTTGGCCTCTGTAAAAAATTTTGGCCTCACTCAGAAATGATAATGATTCTTTTACAGAATTTGATTAATTTTTTCATTGGTTTCAGTTTTTATAAGTTAAAGTAGGTCTATACTCGCAGTACGTCACAACAGGAAGATGAATATGGAACCTCAACCGACTACGCTTTCGTTTTCCGAGATGTCATATTAAATTTAAAACTATCATAATTTAACACTATCGGTTCGACTTTTATGTGGTGTTTTTAACATCCAGTTACGACCCCGACTTTAGTTGCCGATGGCGCGCACTTGTCAATGTGGGCAAGAATAAAGAAAAATATTGTAAACAGGGAAAGATATTCAAAAGGAGAAGGGAAGGGAAACACGCTGGAGAAAAAAAGTGCCACAAATCCCGTTGATACATGTCATAAGAGCGTACCAATAAGTAGTCACGATCATGATCACTGGTATGCTACATGTAACTCTAGTCCGACCGCCACTGTCAGTCAGCAGGTTAAAGTTACGTCTACTACTGTAAATGATAACTTGCAGGAGGAAGAATGACGGGTAGGAAGACGGATTGTTGAATTAGGTAAGCACAAATCATGAAATAATATATTACGATACTGTTAAATTTTTATTTTACTTGTACATGTTACGATTGAATTCTAGATCTTACCCTGTATTTCCACAATGCGATGTTGTAAATAAACTACTTGGTTTATGTAGTGTTTAGATAAGTTAAAAAACGTTTATATGGCTTTACATGTCAATAAAAATTAATATAGCTATAAGGACCTTGGCAGATGGATTGAAAGCTTGTCAATTACTGTAAACCTACTTTTATTCGCGACGACTTTATTTCGCGATTTACCGGGGGTAAACTAGTTCGCGACGATTAATTTTCGCGATCAAGCCTTTTTTGGATCTGTTGTTAATAGAAAGAGAGACTTTAAGGACCGGTTCGCTGCGAGAAATATTCGCGATGACGAGGCTCTCGCGAAAATTTCTCGCACGCGAATAAAAGATTGTTTACAGTATGTGGCAATGTCCTTCATTTAAAAG